AAAGGACAGCTTCAAAGTTTATTACTCTGCATTATTTATGAATTTATGACTGAGAAACATGAATATATGCCTTGAGTTAAACTATTTTGGATGAATCCTTCACATTTTGACAAGTCACAATTGTAATTTTATCCTAATAATATCACTTGATCACAAAATTTATAAATAAAATGCTTACAATCTCTCACATTGATAGAGTGTTCTAGATGCCTGGTGGTTAAAGTGCGGCTTGCTAACTGAAAGGTTGGCGGTTCTAACCCACCAGCGGCTCCATGGGAGAGAAATGTGGCAGTCTGCGTCCGTAAAGATTTGCAGCCTTGGAAATGCTCTGGGCACTTTCACTCTGTCCTCTAGGGTCACTGTACGTCTGTATCCATTTGATAGCCATGTATCGGCGTTTTGTGCTTGTTTTTAAATAGGGTTTCTCTGATTTAGAATCGGTTCCAAGGCAATTCATTGTTGTTGTTTTCTGTTGTTTTTATGGGTAATATTGAGGTGCATATTGCACTAAGGGCTATAAAAATTAGCCAGAAGATACTTCCTTGCAGAAAGTGTGCAGAGGAATTTAAAATGTTGATCTACTGTGGACATAGACAGTGATTAACTCGACTTGGTACTATGAGGGTCTATGCTGGCAGGAAAGAGGGGCACATCATGATATTAAAGGTTAAACCTGAAAGTAGAGAGTCAGTTTGGTGTCTTTTCAGTTATTCCTCTGTGTTCTGCTTTTCAATATTCCTTCAGTTGTCTTGATACAATTATATCAATTCATCTTTTGGTTTGTCTGAATAAATATTTCCCAAGACACAGATATACCCCAATTATTTCAGAAAAAGGTTCATTCAAAATGTTTAATAGACGTTTTAATCCTTAAGAAAATGTCAGAGAGGATTTGGAGTCCCCAAGATTTATATATATAATATATATAATACATATGTATATAAAACAACTAAAATCCCACTATATTCCTTTGGTAGTCTGTCTCAAGTGCTATTTCTTTATCAAGCATATTTTAGTTAACATGTAAGAAATATCAATACTCAACAACTCAGCTAGTATCTACTCCTCCTCATTGAAATAAAAGGGTTGTGATGTAAACAGAAATGATAAATACTTTAAATACTGAAAGCCAAATTTAATCCAAGATGAGAAAAATTAATTCCAATGGTACAACTCTGAGGCTCTGAAAAAAATTAATATATTAGAATTTGGCTTAATTTTTCCTTAAAGAAAAGAAAACATAGCAGAAAACTAAGAAGAAAAGGTGGCAGGAGGAAAAAAATGCATAGCTGGGCACAGATACCTCTTGCCAGTGTTCTTCTTCCGCTGCCACAGACCTTTGGCATTAACTCAGCTCATTACTTAAACCACATTTGTCATATCTAAGTTTAACTGGTGGAATGAAAAATAAAGGAAGCACAGGTAGAAGAAATGCAGAACTTCAGCACCCATAGACTTCCGACAAGTAAAGAACCGCGGTTTAAAGTGAGGAAATGTACATTGTACAAGTTCACATTATGGATGTGAAATATTTCCAGAACTTCACAGGTAACGATGATTTTTTTAAGGAAGCCAATTGTGTGTGTGTGTGTGTGTTTGATTAGAGATTCATTAATTTCTAAACACTCTACCACCATGTGGTACCAGTTAGGATGATGCAAAATACTCACCATAGGAAGAAAAGGCTTTCAATGTAGACATAATTTTAAGTCCCCCATTCTTCCCTAATCTTATCACAAAGCAGATTTGAATTAATAACTTATAGACAAGTAGCTCATTTGCAATCTCCAACCTTATAGACTTCTAATGGCCTCCTCATACTAATGAGAAGTCTAGATCAAATACACTTCTGGCTACCTACTGTGTATATTGTCTTTCAGTGGCTGACTCATTGCACACTCTACTCATGTATCTTATTATTATCTTGTCTACAGAAAAAATACACATTGAATGCAGATGAAAATTCCCACTGACTTCAGGAGCTCAAGAATGGTATCAGAATGGTAGTTCAAATGGCATAATGACTAAGAAAAATATTACCGCCAGGATTCATTTCCTGAATTGCTAAATTAAAAGGGAAAAATTGCAATAACCCCTACCACGTCACTGCATCAGTAGTTTTGTTTGTTGATATTGCCGCAAATTTTATTTTCATAAACATTTACAAAATCCAGATCAACTTTTCCCATTATTTTAACATCATCTTATATGATTCATTTATCATTTAAGCCAAGGAAACTGTCCACTTTCTTATTTATTACTTAATTTTGAACAATTTATCACAATACCTAACTCACATCACTCTGGAAAAAAATTGAATTATAGTATGTTGTTAATATGAAGATGTCATTTCTGATTGAACATTCATACTTTCTACTTTAAGATAGGTGTTCTGTGCACATGCAAACAGTGCAGACAGATGGCTTCTTGAATTTTATGCTCTATTGTCTTTATTCAGATATTTTGCCCTTTATTTGAACATTTCAAGTTACCATCTAGAATAACACTTAACTTTCACTAGTCAGTGGTGCTTAGGTAAAAGTCGGGAGAGAACACAAGCTAAATAGTCTATCAAGTTCACTGCAAACCTCCCACAACCCTGCACAAAGACTCCAAGTGCATGAAAGAAAGTGAAAAATTCAGTTAGCCAAGTTTCAGGTTACCATAATCTCTTAGAAGCTTGTTTTTTATGTGCCAAGCATTTTGTTTTACAAGTTCCAAACCCTTCAGCGCAACAAAAATGTAGGAATTTGACGTTATTTTTGCACTTCTCACCACCCAAGATTCTGACAGTTTGTATCAAAAATAGTACGCATGCTAGAACTTCTCAATCAGTATCTCCCTCAAGTTTTAAGGTGCTCGAATCATTGAGTCTTCTTTCTAAGAATTACTGAAGAGGTTCATGAAAACACATACCAACTTCTCATGTGTAGTTCTCGCATGAAAAATGGATTCTTATTCATACAGTATAAAAGGACCTAAGTTAGCACATCCAGTAGGCAGACTTTACCTTTTCAAATATCCTCCTCCTGTATCCATAACCACACACTGCTCTGTCTTCCATCACGCTTCGTTTATTGCTGAGTGTGGCGCTCCCTCCTTCATTAAATACTATTAAAAATAGACTGCATAGAACTCCCCAGTGGAGCATGCTCTAACAGGGCTATTGCTACAGTTCTCAAGGAAACCATACTCCGCTGGGATCTAAGAGGGAAAGCGCTGGGAGACTGGCAATTTACAAATCTAATACCGCACACAGCCCTGTCTGGATCTGAAGACTGCAAAGAGAGAAATCAGTATGCAGTGAAATGAAGTCACCCAGAAACCGAGAGTTAATTTATGAAGCTTTGTTTCTTTCAATGAGCCTCACTTAGGCAGAGTCCTCTGTTAAATCAGTTTTCACCTAGAGAACTTTGTTACATTGCTTATCGAGGAACAGAAAAGGCAAATTAATACCCAACAATCTAACCCAACAATCTAAATACATAACCATTGAAACGTCTTAAAAATCACATTCAAGCCAAATCCTAGTAGTCTTCAGAGGCTAAGGATGGCAACAGCATCTTTGTGTACCTTTTGCGATGAGGAAGTAAATTCCTGGAAGAACACACCTACACGCACTCTCCAGAAATATTTTTAAATGGTCTGTTAGCAGAAGTGGTAAAAAGAAGTAAAACAAGGGGACAACAAAGAAAATATGAGATCAAACACAAATACATACCTTTAAAATCAGACCTGTCAGTCTGCAAAGCATGCATACATAATCTCTCACATGCGCTATGGATCATGAGTGCAGTTGAAGCAATTACTGCCACGACAGTACAATAATCAGCTATTTGAAAAAACACAGCTATAGAGCTCAGCTTCCAAATTACTGCCTTTCGTCAAATTGAAGTTAATGAAAATCTGATTAAGACCCACAAGCCCTGTGGTAGCACAAAGACAGATCAGAGATATACATGTATTTACTTTAAATCGCATTAAAGGTTTTCTGACTTTTACCAAATGACCACCCATCTTCTCATTTCCCTCCCTGCTTTCTTGAAACAGTCTCAGTAGTTTTGATCTCCAGTGGATGAGGAAGGGGTGGGAATCAATTCAATTCATTCAGCCTTTGAGCAAAATTACATGCAGGATCATTTCAACTTGGGGGAGGGTGCCATTCTTGAGTGAGAGACTCAAGTGTCACATAAATGCATTTGAAAAATCAGAAACCTAAACACATTCTCTTGTGAAAGTGATTCCGATCAGTCTCACCCTGCACTTATTTCTCTCCCATCTCTACAACTTTCCGCTTTGTTTTCCTCTGAGGCTTGCCCTTTCTGTCCTTATCCTATGTCTGCTGGAAATGATCAGGTATGGCACTCAAGCAAGCTGATAAGCCAGGGAACCCATCCTGGGCTGTGTTTAAGCATGGATATTGAATCAATTGCTTTTCTGGAGAAACTTTCTAAACACCTGTCTAATTCAACTCAAGGGAACCACTGTAACCACCCGTATCCACGACTGAGACGAGACAACATGGAATTGCATGGCTGCAAGCAACACAGATTTCAGAAACATGTAGAAACAAACCTGAACACAGCCACCCTGCCCCCTCTGCCGCTGAACCTCTGGGGACCCAGGAACCCACTCCCCAGGGGACTGAAAATGGACTTTAATTCTCTGCTCCTAGTTTCTCTCTCTTTTGAAATGAAACAAGAACATTCCAAACTTTTTACCAAGGAACCTGCATAAATCACTGTAGAGGTATCCGTGGGGGTGGGGGTGGGATCACCCTTTTAAATGGACTTCTCTTCTATTTCTGCCTCTTTGCAGGGAGGGGGAGCCGACTCCTCCTTCAAGGAAACATGAAAACGAGAGACATGTGGAACAACAGCTTTCTCCAGACATTCAGACAAGAACCCATACAATGGAAAGCACACATTTATGGCAGAAAGAAAGAGACAGAAAATCCACAAAAGCGTGCAATGTTCACGTCGGAAGACCTTGAGTATTACCTGCACGAAACAGTGGCTATCCCCCCAGCGTCTTGGTGGCCTTGACTGATTTGATTTAGTTTTTGACTTTGACTAATATTGTTTCTCAATGATTGATTTCTTTGGCGTGGCTTTTTGTCTTTGCTTCTCTCTCTCTCTCTCTCTCTCACTCACTCTCTCTCTCTGTCGATTTATTTAACTGCTAATAAAAAAAAGCTCTCTACAGCATTCGCTGAGCTCCCTGCGGGGCTGAGGTGGCCACGGTTGTGGCGACAACGTGGAGGTGGTGGCTGCCGCTCTCGTCCCGGTGCCCCTGCTGCCTGATCTCCGCTCCGGGCGCGCTCCGAGGGCGCCGCCGCCGCCTTCGCTGCCCCGCGGGCTGCGGGGTGTGCGGGGAGAGGGCCGCCGGCCGCCTAAGTGCCCTTCAGTCCGTCTGTCCGTCTGCCTGCCCTCTGTGGCTCAGACTTGCAGCTAGGTGCCGGGTGTGCGCTCGCCAGAGCTCGGATGCTCCAGCGTTTCGCTGGCAGCCAGTCTTTGAGTCCGTCTGTCTGTCCCTCTGCGATGCCAGCTCCCTGTCCTCCTTGGCGGCGCCCTCAGCCTCTCTCCCTCGCCCTCTCCTCGGCCCTGGCCGCTTCCCTCAGACGGAGGAGGGCGTCTGGAACAGAGAAAGCACGCAAGTGCTTCTCTCTCTTTCTCTCTCTCTCTCTCTCTCTCTCTCTCTCTCTCTCTCTCGCTGCGCGCTCGCGCGCTCTCCGCGCGTCCTCTCCCGATCTCAGACTGATGGCTCCACCTGTCCGTCGCTCTGTCAGTCCTACCCAGAGCCAGACGGCCCCGATCGGTTGCTCGTCCCCGCGGCCCCTGCCCACCTGCCTCCGCCGTCTGCCCTTCCGCCCGCCCGGGTCCTCCCACGCGGCTGGCACTCCCGCCGGGGGCGGCGCCGGCTCCTCCCCGCACCCTGGCCCCGTCGGTCCCCGCCCGGATTTGGGGCGACGGGTGTGCCGCACGTGGCCCCGCAGCTCCTGCAGCGGGAGTCTCCGGTTCCCCCCCCCATCACCCCCCTCCCCCAAGAAGTGGGCATCGCCTGGCGCTAGCCGGTGCCCCGACCTCTCTGCCATCGGACAGGGCCTGAGCTGCCGGAGCTGGAACGCGGGCGCCCGCACCAGGTGCCATCGGTTCGCTGGTCCATCCTCCGCCAGCCCAGCGGCTGTAGACAAAAGCGCGAGAGCCACGCGCGGCGGCGTGAGCATCATTCATCAGAGGGGAAACTGGCACCTTGCCCCCTGCCCTGCACACCGCCTCCCAGCTCCCGGACAGTCACGCACCCGGCGCCCATCTCCAGGGTCTGGGTGCAGGAACCCACGGGCGTGCCGCTCTGGGGTCTCCTCCGGACACCTGGAGACACTAGGTGAAGCCTTACTCCGCTTGCTTCCTCCGGAACTCACTCTGCAGCCAACTCTGCAGACAATCCCATAGTCACACCTCACCCCACCCCACCCCCAATGATCTGTAGCTGGAGCTCTTGGAGATTTGTGGCTTTGAGCAAGACCCAAAGTGCTGGCTCTCAGCGCCAAATGTATGCGCCTTGGCGACTGTCCAGACGCCTGTCCAAAGCAGCACTGCTTTAGAATTGCCGCAGACACCTGGGCAGGGTAGGGCACAGGGCAGGGAACAAAGTTGACACCTGAAGAAAGAAGATCGCTGCTTTTGCTGTTTGTTCTGGAGATGTGCTATTTTTACTATCTGTACGTTTTTTTTCACTGTCTGGAGCACACAATTACAAAAAAGAAGTGAGGAGGGGTGCGGCGAGGGGATGGGGGGTGGGGGGAGGAAAGGCGTTGTGGAGAACAAGGGAATACATTTCCGGAATAACACCCACCCCTCCTGAGTGAATGTGGAGCCTACTTTTCCAACATTATAGGTCACCAGCCAAGATACATCACTCTGGCTTTCTGCCCCCAGCTGAGAGCAAGGCATTTGATTCTGGGCTTCTTTGCTAGGTTGTTATTAATGTGCAGCAAAATTACAGTTGTATATGCCTGCATGGGATTGCCAAAGCTCATTCTGACAGTATCCAGCAATTCCGTTTCTGTAATGCACAGGCTGAGTCTGCTGCAATGAACGCCCATCCCACGATATATTCAAGATAGAGAAAATGAACTTTTACCAGCTGCAATTAGGAGCCCCATGAATAGATAACAAATAAATAACTAGCATAAACCATGTTATGAAACTTTCCACATCCTTTTCGTTTCACTTACTGAAACCCATTCCTAATGACGGGCATTATAAACAGATTCATTTCAGGAAGGTTTTCTGCCATATTGTTCTATGAAATTAATTTCATCAGCTGTAGTCGTGTTCATCTGTGCTGAGATTTAGATTGTCAATCTCCAGCAGATGTGCACCGCTAGAAAATGCTGTGGAGGAAAAACAGGCTAGAGATGCGATGGTCTTTGATGAATAGAAAATTATTTTGCAACTATTAGAAATTATCTCCCTGGAGGTTCTGCCCTTGCTTGAATGAGAATGAATCTGCTGTATCAGGTTGCAGGCAAACCAAGCCTAAAGAATTGAGAGCCCTTACCTTCATCTATTTTTTGCCACCATTTCTACTGAGTCCTATCCAAAAGCGTTTGACACGCATTTCTCTCCCTTCTTCCAGTCATACGGAATTCAAGAGAAAATTAATTTTAAAAGTATTTCTAATTCACTGCCTTTGCTTCAACTCAAATCATGTTCTTAAAAAACCCAGTTTTCTTTGTTGGAAATTGTTGGGTGAAGTGGTGCAGGGTCATAAATCAGATGATTGGGATGGCGCTGGAAGAGGGTCAGTGTGTTCTGATTTCTTGCCTGGATAGGCCCTCACCTAAGTATCTCGCAGATAGTAAGTAAACTATTAATAGGAAACCTTACAATTTTCACTTAACACAAAGTCTTTCTGGAATGCTTCAGAGGTCACTTAAAAAACTGGAACTCGATTTTATAAACTAGATTAGAATTTATAGGCATTGGGCAGAGTGAGGGAAGGACTCCATTGGTTTTCTTAGTATTAACTCCATTGATTGGATAAGAAGACCGAAATAGAATGTTTCGATATCCTTACCAACACTGATGGCAAACTTTATTGTAATATCTCACTGTTTTAAAGCTGTATATTACAAAAAGCACCCTTAAAGAACATGAATTTTCTTTCACTGCATTTTTCTATCTTTTCTCATATTGTGTCAACACAGAATGATTTAGAAGGGCTTAAGTTTATCTGAGGTCATATAGGTAATTAGCATCCACATGCCTAGTTTTAAATGTTGTGTCCCAAAGTGGGACTGAAATACACTCTAGAGAATATTAGGCAGGCAGTGAGCAATAACTTATTCTAGTAATTTAGAAAGTGTCACCATTTTCTATTTCTTTAACCAGTTTGAAGGAGTTACTATTTTTTAAGGCCTTTGACACATTCCATATTGATTACCATGGGATTTGGTACAATTATTATCCACCTTACTTGATCTCTGGGTGACAGATATGAAATATCAATTTTGGAAGTGTTAACACATTTAAACAGTCTTACCTCTAAGGATGGGAGGTGATAGTGGAGAAAGAGGATGTGGTGCTGTTACTCCCTGGGTCTATGTACTTACTGGCTTATTTGGCACTAGGTTTTAAACGAAGAAACAGGCATGTAACCAGGTAAACCCAGCTTAGGGAGTTGAGCTCACCTATACCCAGGCTAACATCTCAGATTGTCGACAAGCTCCTTTAAACACATATTCCCCTAAGACACTAAATTAGTGCCCTTTAATGAAGCTCTCAAATTGGATTTTCAAAATACAGCAAATTGCTAAAATAGCCCAGCTACCTTTATAAGCACCTTTTCAGCTGAAGCGAGAAGTAGAATTTCCGTGCTGCTGAACTTCCATCACTTGTCAACAATTAGACTGCAAGGAGCTTCCCTTTAGGGCATACTCCCCCACCACAATAAAGGCCCACAAATCCCCTAGAGAGACTTCTCATTTGCCGATTTCCAGCAAAACAACCTAGAGTCTATTAAATGCCAGTCTTGGGTTTAAAAACCAAGAGTCTATTAAATGCCAGTCCTGGGTTTAAAACCTTACAAATATGTAAGCATGGCAGAAAAGGCAGGAGCAAATTCAAAAGCAGGGTGGGAGGTGAGGGTGGGTTAGCATTTTACCAGGGAAGTTGAGATCCCCATTCTTGTTTTGTGTGAAGCCAAAATAACTCTAAACCACATTTTAGAACATCAACAAAGAATGTTACATCACGTATGCATCTGAGCATGAAGAAATGTCACGATGCAAAGCAAAGAGGACTTGGGAGACTAGACACCAAATGTTCTGATGGCGCCGGTGTCTTGACGGGGAGCCATGTTTCCTCTGTCGCCTGCTGTGCACAGGCAGGACATTTTTCTCCACGAACTCTTGGAGTTCACAGAGTGGACCATAAATGAATGCTAGCCTGAAAACACACACACACACACACACACACACACACACACACACACACACACACTTTGCTAGGAATGCAAACAAACCAAGACATTGTCTCCCAAATGTATGTGTGTAGGGTTTTTTATGGACCTGCATCCAGATCAGAGGAGGGATGACATGAGGATGTACAAAAAACAGCTAAAGAGAGAGCTTTAGGAAACCCATCACTAAAACTCTTGAGCATCAATAACCAAGGACTGCTGATTAAACCGCAGACTGCTTTTTAACATTTCTTGGGATTAAAATGCCTTAGCATGGAGATGTTTCTCCCTGTGCCGCTCCCCCCCTCCCCATCACACACACCACCACCCATGTACCCCATCCCCCAAACCCTAAATCTTTTCCTCCTCTGCTCTCTGTGACCTCTAGGACCCATGGCTTGGGAGCGGCTAAGGCATACAGCGCTGGAATCAGAGCACACTGGAGCACGGACTCTTTATGATGGAAAGGGCAGAAATGCAGAGGCTGACTGCCCAGTAGGTCCTTTCTATTTGGCTCCTGTCATCACTGGCTTGCAAGAGCTGCTTAAGCAGGAGCCATTCTCAGTGCACTCTGGAGCCTGCCTAAGGTGTGTTTGTTTTTCTGAGAACTAGCCCGGAATGACTGCAAGCAGGCATGAAGCCGGGGCCTGAGTAGCATATATGTGAACACAATGGGCTTGAACATCAGAATAGCTGTGAGAATGGTGCAGGGCTGCACAGTTTTCTGTTGGATGGAGGGGTGCTCAGTCAGAACTCACTCATTGTCACCTAACAACAATAACAAAAACAACATGTGAACAGAGAGGTCAATATTAGCAACCCTGGCACACCAGGCATGATTCAGAGACTAATCTAACATCTGTCAAGCCACTGATCACGCTTGTTTGGCACCATGTTTTAAACAGTCTGTCTTCCTTTTTATGTTTCTGTTCCTGAGCTACAGCATCTTCCTCTACAATGCACACAGTTCCCTTTTTCACACAAAGAGAGACAAAAGTTAGCACGTTACTCAGAACTTGGAATAATGTACCTGGCTCCCACTCATGAGATAATCCTAAACTGTCTGTGCATTAGGCAATACAATAACGCAGCTTGAATCCATCTCTAACAAGATGTAGGACATTTGCATTTTTAAACTACTCTTCATAACTTAAAAAGGTGTGTGCATATATAGATGCATGTAGTTAAGAGGTAAAAAATATTCCCAGTGTTAATTAATCAACAGAGTACTTAGACCTTACTGGAAACTCAGTTGTAGGATAATACCCAGCACCTGAAGAATGATATGCAAATTTATAATCCTGCATAAATATACAGCTTCTTCTCCAAAGCTAGCTACTCTTTAAAGTAAGTTTCTGTCCCCCCTCCCTTTGGAAAATAAATATGCAACTGCAAAATATCTACAGATAACATAGAAATCTTCCAGCCAAACTTCCACCACCCAAAGTGCTAATAACACATTTTCAATTAGCCAGTCTCTATGCACATATATCCGTAAGTATACCACTATATTTTGCATGAATAGATTGTAATAGTCCAGTAAGTGGTCAAGTTATTTTATGTAGCGGACTTGGTAGCATACTGGGGTACACAATGCTCTATCAACCACAAGGTCACTGATTTGTACCCATAAATTGCTCTTCAGGAAAAAGATGAAGGTTCATGTTTCCGTAAAGATTTATAGCCTGGTAGGGCTTGATCAAGGACAATGTAACCGAGAGGAATTACTGAAACCAAAATGAAGGCTGGGCATGATAGTGGGACAAGAGGAAAGTAAAAGGAAATAGAGGAAAGTACCAGGAGGCAAAGGGCATTTATAGAGGTCTAAATACAGGCACGTACATATGTAAATATATTTATATATGATGATGGGGAAATAGATCAATGTACATATATTTATAGGCTTAGTATTAAGGTAGCAGATGGACATTGGGCCTCACCACAAGAACACTCTCTTCTATTAAACTGGCATTCTATGATGCTCACTTTCCCAACACAATCGCTGAAGACAAAGCGGGGTACATAAGCAAATGTGGTGAAG